TATCGTTTTATCTTTTAATTTAATACTTGTTTGTATTTATTTAATTTAACTTTTAATTTAATATTCTCTTATATGTATCTAATTTTTAAAACATTTTTTTTTATATTTTATGTCATATTTAAAATGAAGCGTGTTGACGTTTGTGCTATGATGCATCATTCATCATTGACAAGCACTGAGTATCACATAGTTTTTAGCCTCCACCCCCCTAAGTTTCAACACCTGTAAATATATAATTACATAGTAAATATTTACATGAATGATCTTTAAAAATTTCTTATTTAATTATGTCCCTCACTTTATTATTTAAACTTTTAACTATATATCATCATCTTCTCACTAGCATGTAAATTATTATCAAATTTATGTCCTCCATCATCATGAACAGTAATGCAAAATCTTACTATGAAACTACATATTTCACTAATTTACTTAAATATAAATATGAATTATATATGGACTTATTCTTATAAAATTTCATCCACATAACTTCTTCAAATATATTACCTCCTTCCAATCAAAACCCTAAATATTTATTCAAATTAAAACTATTCTATGGCTTTAAATAATGAGTATCCAAGCAAATCCCGCTTGAGGAGAAACTAATCCAAGGTGGAGAAAATGTGGAGCCCAACAACACCCCCAGAACTATCCCAACCAATAAGTGTTTCAAATGCAACGATTTTGAATGCATTTTGTTAGATTGCCCAAACAACATAATAATATCTTTCATTGAGTAGAGAGAAAGTGAAGAAATGAGTTGTGCCATATGAGAGAGAAGTCTTCAAAGAAAAGCAACACCTTGTAACTAATGAGGGAGAAATATTAGTGATTCAAACTATGAATTTAGCAAGACTAATTTTGGTTGTCCTAGAAGATAATCACTTTGACGTAATGATGTAATGCCACAAACCAACATTTTGCAGGCTTTGAGAGAAGCTTCAGCATAATTAGTATTGGTTATGTAAAAAAACCAACTTCGAGGAGCCAAGATCAGACACAGGATAGCCACTACTATGTGGATTTCAGGATTTTCAGACATACAATCTACCTCCTAAATTGTCACTACTAAGGGACGTCCAACAAATCATCACTTTCAAATAGAGATGCAAAAAGTTTGAGTTATATTTGAAAAACTATATGGAATAACATTATGAGACCAGCAATCCTACAGTCATGGTCGCAATATTCCCGCGATATTGCGGAATTGCTCCTGTGATCTAAGGTACCAATGACCAAAAATTTTTCTGTGCTTACTCTTGACGTAGCTCTACGTGCGGCGCAGTGTATTCATGAGTAATTTTCATGTTATTTTTTTGATTATTTTCAATAATCCCGAAATAATCCGGAAATAACCCGCGGTTTTTACTTTTGGGTTATTTCTGGGTTATTTCGTGATTATTCCAGAAATAATCTGAAAATAACTCAGGAATAACCTGCACCGCACTTAGAGTAACGCCAGGTGTCCGGACAGAAAATGCGCGCACCAATGACAGAGCTGTTCAAATTGAATTGCTAATTCCAAAAATTGCCACAAAATTATTATGAAACGAAAAAAAAAACAGAGAACAAAATCAGCAGCACAACTTATGGCCGATGGGAGAAAACCTCTTAATCCACGGCGAACTTGCTGAGCTCCTCGCCTGTAAGCCGACAGATCCTCCATTGTGGCAAAACCTCAGCCCCCATTCCATTATAGAACGCAATCGCGTTCTCATTCCAGTCAAGCACACACCACTCCACCCTCCCGCATCCCAGCCTTGCAGCCTCACCCGCCACCGCGGCGAGCATCATCTTCCCCATCCCCAGCCGCCTCCATGCTTCCCTCACGAATATGTCCTCCACGTATATTCCCGGCAGCCCCATGAAGGAGGAGTAGTTCGGAAAGCATAGCAGGAATCCAGCGACCACCAGCCCGTTACCGCGCGGGGAGGCGAAGGTAGACGACTCCGGATCGACGACAGTTGACTTGAGTACGATTCGGCCCAGGATCGGGCGGAACCCTAGGTTGGAATCGTCGTCGTCGGCGGACTTCGGGATGGGGGAGTGGGAGAGTTCGAGAATGAGGATGGTGAATGATCGGAAGGGGGGGAGTGGAGGGGAAGGGAAGAGGGTGGAGGTAAGTGATGATTCGGTGGCGGAGAAGAGGTTGGTGAGGAGCTCGAACTCCGCCATCTGATGTATTAGGCGGTGGATGTTGGGGACGTCGAAGCGGTCGGCGAGGCGAATTCGGGTAAAAACAACCGCTTGTTCCTTCGATGGGTCGCCGGCGGCGGCGGGGACTGTAGTCATGATAGGGTTTTGAATTGTGTGATTTGGAAATTGTGTATGGAAACTAGAGTGGAGTTACTTATAGAATTTGTATGCTAGGAAGGAAGACTTGTATTTCTCTTCTGAATATTAACAAAAGAAAAAAATGTGTGTTTTGGCTATCAAATTGCATATATTTTCCTTTAGGCTTGTTCGATAAATCTTGACAAAGAACCATCTATGTGATAGAGGGAAATGAGCATTCATATGTCGTGAATAAATTTTCAACATCCGACATGAACTTAAGATATGAGACTGATCTTGATGCACTTTTTTGAGCAAGGAATGTTCAAAGTTTGATAAGAAGTCATTCGAAAGTCTGATTTCAGCAAACTTATGGTCAAACTCATCGATTTGACGAGAGGGGCCCGATGATATCAAAATTGGTACAATCTGAGTCAAATCAATCCCCGATCAAGATATTAAACCATGTTTGAAAGTTTTTCAGGCACACTTTGTAAGGTCAAATGAATGATAAATCTGGTGAGTTTATAGCCGAATCAAGCGTATCGATAAGACCAATCCTACGAGGTCCAATATCGCTCAATTCTAATTCTGACATCATTAAGACACTTAAATGTCCACCAAATGTCGTCTGAACAAAAAAAAAAATTCTTCGGACTGTCTAATTAAAGTGGTTTATATTGTCGCAATAATTGCACCAATAACTCTACAAATAGAGCATTTCCCCTCGTTTGAAAGGGGATGTTGGCATCAATTTTTAATGTCATGTGTGTAGGATATCAACTTCAATAATTCAGGGTGACTTGGTGTCCATTCATTTCATCCTAAAACTCAAGATATCAATCTGGACCTCCCGATACGTGCCATGAGCACAGAATCGGGATTGGTGCCGATTTTTGCCCTGCTCGAGTAAATTCACCGTGGGATGGAAATTAGCTCGGGACATGTTTAGCATTCATTTTTGATGTTTAGAGATCGCACCACCTTAGTCTCAACTCGTTTATGGCCAACTGGAGTCACAAGACTCACCCATGGGCACTACTTGATATGAATTAGGGTTTCATACCATTTTGCGTTGCCCGGGGATTACCGTTGTTCGACATAATCATTTTAGACAACAACATAGCATTTAAGACTAATAATTCTTTCAAAAATAAAATTTAGTATTATTGTAGGATATCTTCCATTTCTATATTTAATATGCGAAGCACGTAATTTTTTTCATAAATTGCTCCCGTCACCACTCATCTAATACAAACATTTAACTTCAACGGTTCTACACTAATATTTTTTTTAGATGGGCATAATATAGCACACATGACGGTATATTACTAGAGTCCGCACATAATTTTCTGAATTTTGCATAGCTTCGTAAATCTAATACAAACATTTAACTTCAACGGTTCTACACATGATATAACATACATGGCCGTATATTACTATAGTTCGCACGTAATTTTCTGAATTTTGCATAACCTTTTTTATGTTTTATGAATACACTAATTCATGCGAACCTTAAA